GCCACGCCCGGCCCCGTGGTTCCCGGCTGCCGCTGCATCCCCGCAGGAGCAGGCAGGGCCTGGCCTGCTGCCAGGGGTTTCGCTCCTGTGTGCGCTCGCAGAGGTAAGTGGTGAAATGCTGTGGAGGCTGCTCTGGAAGCAGCCGGTTCTGCTGCCGTAGCGCAGCTCCGGTGGCCCTGGGACTTCCTCCCAGCAAAGGCGTGCCCGCTTGCCGCACTGCCCAGAGTGACTTGCAAGACTCTGTTTCCACCTCCGCAGTGATCGGCCGGTCAGTGTCTGTCCCGTAGCCGTGGTGCATTACTCTGCAGTAGCTCTGCAGAGGTCTGCAGCAGTGCGCTTTTCCTCAATGAGGAATGTCCTGAGGTTTTCTGAAGTTCATGAACAATTTTGTAATGTTAGTGTCGTTCTAGTGACTGTGGGTCAGAGCAGCTGCCTGCCTTGCTCTCTTTTTGGTTGAATGATCCAGGTTCCTGGGAGTATCATGAAAACAGCAGGTCCTTATCCTGCAAAAGAGAACTAGATTTACTTAATTTTCCATTAATTGGCTCAACTGTTATTAAAAAACTGAATCTGGGTACCTTTTTGTAAGGTTACTTGAGCCATGATGAAGTAAGTGTCCAGCTGCAGGGGAGGAATGGCGGAAGGTGGATGTGGTGTCATTTGCCTGTGGATTCAGCTCTGTAAATAAGTGGGTGTTGCTTTTGTTCCTAGGAGTCCTGAAACCTTTCCTGGGACTTGTGGCTGCGTCTGCCATGTGGTACGGAGCATCCCCTGGGGTACTGTGGTGCTCTAATCGATGTAGCAATATCTTTTGTGGTAGGTACAGCTCTGAGAGGCAGCGCTTAGATGGATCTCTTGGCGTGACTGTTAACGGTGCCTCTGCTTACAACCGCTGTATGATCTGCTTTGCTTAGGCACTAGCTGCTGATGGATTTTGTAGCTGTTAAATTAAAGATAATTGCAGGCTTAGGAGGGCTGTGTGGTGACTACCAGAGGGAGGTGGAATATGTGCAAGCAAAATGTGCAACGGAGATTAGCATTATAGTGGTGGGATCTATGAGAACTGTAAAAGAAAAAGGAACCTTTCTTCTCCTTGCCAGCCCAGATCCTCAAGGGGATAAACTGCATCTCTTGGGTTCTGCGTCTAGTCCGGGGCCTTTCTGAAGGGGCATAAGGATTTGGCTGGAAATGGCCTTGGAGGTGCCAAGCTGCCTCGTACTGATCTAGACAGTAACGAGCTGGCTGGCCCTGCGGTAGCACTGGTGGCAGAAGCTGCGTCGTGGGGTAAGCGAGTGAGCCGAGTGGATTCCACTGATGCCCGAGTGCTGGATGCTGGACTCTGAGAGCCTCCCTGTAGCTCTTGAATGAAAACATGCCTTTAGTGACACGGTTAAAAAAGGAAAAGGCCTGACAGCCGTTGTTTCCATGACAACAGAACAAATTGCCTGCAATATTTCAGCTCATCGGCCTGGAGAACAGTCTGATTGATAGTTACATACGCGTGGTGGAGAGATAGCAGAAGAGGGGAGGCCAATTATATCGCATTTTCCTTGTCCTTGAATGCCTGTGGCCACAGCAACTTTTTTTTTCCCTTTGCTTTTTGTTGTTTTTTTTTTTTTTCCCGAGTGAGAATGACCTGCGTGTCCCTTGGAAGCGCCTGTACAACCTGCCAGCTGTGGATATGTGACCCTTGCTGTCATGGGCGCTCTGGTTCAAAACCTATGCCACGTGTGCAGGGAATATGAACATTTGGCTCCTTGACTGGTGATTAGCAAGTAGTTATTTATGATATAGAGTGTCTTGGAGGGGGAAGAAGTGAGCTTGAGCACGTGCTTCCTGAGCAATCTGTACTCGGGACATTTCTCTCTTCTCAGACTGTCTGGTGAACGTCTCAAAGGCAAGATGTACGTGCCTTCGGGAGAGTAACGGAACGATTCAGGCCTCGGGAAACCTGTGGTGGGTTCAGTGCATCTCCCCCCAGAGCACCCCTGGGCTCGCCGGCTCTGGGCCATCTCTGGGACATTCATGTGATGAAGGGGTGGGTGGCCAGATTCTGCCCTGGCTGTGCTTTGCTCAGAGCTGAGTAGGAAGGGGAGCATGTGATGGAGGAGCTGCCAGAAGAGAGGGACAGGTAAAGGTGCTGTGGGAGAGCATGAGAAGACAAACCCAAGGGTCTGGGTAAAGCGTTCCCACGTCAAGAGTTTTGCTGAGGTCTGGGAACCTCATGGCTCTCGGGTGGAGCAGGTGGCCCTGCCAGTGCCGGGTGGTGGGCTGCTGCTGGGCTGGAGCATTGTGTCACCTGGGGAAGCCAAGGCTAGTGCCGGTCCTGGTGCTCTGTGTGGTGGTGTACCCGTCTCCCCACAGAGTTTTGTCCGCAGTAACTTTCTTTCAAGCAGCTCAGTTTAGTCGATTTTCATAAAATCACAGACTGGTTGGGTTGGAAGGGACCTTAAAGCCCATCTCGTTCCAGCCCCCCTGCCATGGGCAGGGACACCTCCCACCAGACCAGGTTGCTCAAAGCCCCATCCAACCTGGCCTTGAACACTCCCAGGGATGGGGCAGCCACAGCTTCTCTGGGCAACCTCTGCCACTGCCTCACCACTCTCACAGTGAAGAATTTCTTCCTGATATCTCATCTAAATCTTCCCTCTTCCAGTTCAAAGCCATTACCCCTTGTCCTGTCACTCCATGCCCTTGTAAAAAGTCCCTCCCCAGCTTTCTTGTCGGCCCCTTTAGGTACGGGAAGGCTGCTCTAAGGTCTCCCCGGAGCCTTCTCTTCTCCAGGCTGAACAACCCCAACTCTCTCAGCCTGTCCCCACAGGAGAGGTGGAAGCCATCTTCACAGAGCTTTGGAACGTGCTCTTTAAACACGCCATAAAGCCTGAGAAGCCCAAAGCAAGGTGGGTGTTGCAGCGAATGCGCTGCAACCCCAAAGGAGAACGCCTGCCCTGGGAGATGGGCCTGGCTGCTGGTAGGAGCCTCTAAGTGCACAGAGGAACGTGCTTGTGCCTGACCGGGAACGGTCCTGACTCCCCTGGTGACCTCGCCTGACTCCAGAGGAACAGCAAAGCCCCCTCTGCCTTTGCAGGGCCAGGAGTTCAGCCTTAATTCCAGTTGCTCGCACTCCTTGAAGGCAGCGATGCTAGTTTTTCATGTCGGGCTTGATCCGTTGCCAAAGAGTTTAAAGTAAGTGCAACTTCAGTCAGTACCCACTGGTGGGATTGTAGCATTGTGGGTTAATAGCCCTTGGGAAATGTATTTTGGGGAAAATATTTGAGTATGAACATTGAATGTTCCCTTAAAAATAGATCCCCAGAGACAACAGATGCCAGATTGCTGCTCATGAGGAAGGATGTTCTCCCTGGCTCCTGTTGTAGTTTCTTGATGATGCTTTTGCTTTGGAATATGAGCAGAAACATTCAAAATAGAAACATTGTGATGAGATAAAATGGAACAAACCTACAAGAATCTGTGATGCTCTGTCGTCTCTCCCTGGGATATGTAAATGATGCCTTTTAAAGCAGTTTTGAGTACGTGTGCAGCCCTCCTCGCATTAATGCTCTTGTCGCAGGCTGCGGTCCCTCTATCTGCAATTCCGTTTGCCTTCACCTGCAACTCTGTGACTTCCCCGGCGCTGCTGGGGTGACACCCACCCTTGTACCCAACTGCTGGTACCCCACAAACGCTGCCGGGCAGTACCGCCAGGTCTGTTGCGTTCGGTTTCTCAGGGGACGTGGCTGCCACTGATGTGTGAGTCCCCTTGTACCCCCTCCCCTGCCTTTTCACCCCTCATTTCCTAGCTTTTCAGCTGTAACATCCAACTAAGGGAAAAAACCGGACCTTCGGCGAGATACTGTTGGTGGGCAGTGGTCACTGGCACAGTAATCGTTCGCCGTAACAGCCACGCACAACGGGTGCCCGACCACAGCACGCTGTGCTCAGCGCCATGTCGGGGTGCAGCAGGGAGATCGTGCGGGGCCGGGGGAGATTTATCAGGAGATGACGAGAAAGGGCTGGGGGGAGCTGCTGCTGCCTGGGGAAGAGCCCAGGAGAGGCTGCTCATCTGCGGAGACCCATTACTTCTCTTCCCAGCTGGCTGCGGGGGAGTTTTCCCATCCTTTTTCTTCTTTTTTTTTTTTTTTTTCCCTGCCCCCAAAGGTAACTTAGTAACTTAGCTGCCATCAGGTACAGACCCCAACAACAAGTCCTTGTGGAGGACAGGGGTATCTCTGCCCTCTGTGCAACAATAGGATGGTTTTTTTGAAAGTTTTTTCCCAATACTAAGGTGCACGCAGTGGCTTCAAGCCAGAGGAAAGATGGCTAAAAAAGCCCCCAAACGGGCTGCAGACCAGCTGCTCCAGGCCCAAGGACAGGAGCAGGGATGAATTTCTGTGTATACGAACTCGACATCTTGTTGTGTGTTGTTTCTGTACTTCTCACTCTCTTTACAGGCCAGTTCAGAGTCTCTGTTGGATCCTCAGCAAATCCAAGCTTTTGACCAACTCTGCCGACTCAACCGAGGAACCTCCAGAGTACGTACCGCCTGTTTTCCTTTGGGTTTTAAATTGGTGAAGGGAATTTTGCATGTTGCCAACCAGGTATTAGCACTGGCAGCGTAGGCTTTGGCTTTTCTCTTGGGTTTCGTTTAGTGCTGGCAATTTACTGTGCGTGGAGCTGGCTGTTTCACATCATGAGGCAGCCACGCTGCCTCTGACAGAGCTGGGGAACTCACTGGCAGTGAAACCATGGAAACACCTCTGGTTTTGGGGATGGGCCTGGAAAGCATCCATGGTGGGAGGCTTCTCAGATTCTTTTTAGATTTGCAAGTAACCTCCCCTCCAGACAGTGTGTGGCTCCCGCGATGGCACAGAAGGCTCCCTCCTCCTGCCCCCCGTTATCCCAAGGAGAGCACAGCTGCCTCTGTCCCTTGCATTTTCCTTGTGCCTCCTGCCCGTGTTGGCTGCAGTTGTTGGCACTTTCAGCACTTTCGGCTCTTTCTGGGATTGTTTTTTCAATTATGTAACTTTCAAACAACCCAAAGACACTTGGAAAGTTGCGAGTTCGGGACCATTGTCCTGCACTGGGCTCTATAGGGTCACTGCATACCATATATACCCTTTTCTTTACAAGTGTTAAGGTTTTTCTAATTGCTGCAGGAAAAAGGTGAGCCCCCCATGAGCACTTTGTCTTTCTGCACCTTGCACAAGTGCTTCTAGGCAGCCTGCCCATGCCGCCGGACAGCGATCTGTCTGGGTTTTGTCTTGCAGCTAGCTCTCCTGACAGAACTCTCTCGCGGCCACGGCAGTGAAAAGCACGGGCTGCTCAGCGTTTCCCACGGTGACCCGGCCACCAGCAGTGTCTTCCAGAACGAGAACTTCCAGCTCCACCTGGCCCCCCCTCCGCTGGCTGAAGACTAATGCTCCTGCCTCCAGCCCCGGCTGCGGCAAGGCCACGGTTGGTTTTAGGTTTCGGTGCTGGGAAGCCTTTCCATCACAACACTGGACTTTCCCCAACCCCACCGCCTTTCCCAGAACCCTCTGTGCTGTGTCGAGTCTTGCTTGGGGTGCTGGTGGGTTTGTAGCAGCGGGTGATCTCCCAGCTCCGCTGCCGCCTCTCACAAAACTGAGGCTGCCCTGGGGCAGCTGGGCTGGAAGCTGTGAACTCTGGGGGCAAAACCAAGCGTGCTGCAGCACTGGGCCACCTGCACTGACCCAGAGGCTCCCGGCAGCACCCGCAAATCTT